TACAACACTAATTCTGTAGCCCTAATGAAAAACAAGAGTGAATAATAAAATCAAGTGTATTGTAGTGTACTTAGTATATATTAGGTTAGTATTATGAGCTACAAATAGTAAGCCTCCCAGTGGCACAGCGGTATGTCTGCGGACTTACCACGTTAGAAACCGGGTGTCGATACCCGTGGTGGGCAGAGCTTTGTGTATCTTTGAGCTTAATTACAAACAAGGCGAAATGTTCTTTTTAATACTTTGATCATTCAACATTTTCATAATGTTTTTTAAATAATGCTCCAAAGGTCCTTTGACGTTGGCGTAGTTATTTATTTTAAAGATTCAACAGCAAATTAATGTATTTTTTGTCAAACATTTGCAACCACATTAAGTATTTGCATTATTCTGTGATTGACCTCCTATTAGACAATCTTAGTAAAAATTCCTTTACTTTCTTTTTGGAAATGAATTAATTAAAAAAATAAACTTAAAATTTATATTTGCTTCAGTTTATTTACTAAGTATACGTTAATGAAACTTTTGATGTTAATTCATATTATTTACATCAGATTTTTTTCAAGTTTAATTCTTTTATCATTTTACTAATGAAGTAAGTTCAGAATAACTACAAATTACATTTTGTACGTATTTTGTTCTTTCTTTTTCAGTCGAAAAATTCTGATATTTTTATGTTTTCTTTCTTCAGAATGAATTTTCTACACTCTACAGAATTATTAAAAGAAAGTTTCACAGTTAAGTGTGCTATGTGTCATAAACGGTATAGCATAAAAAGGTGAAATTGTTCAAGGGTATTAAGTATTTCATGCGAATACAAATATCAGAATTGTCATATGTTGCCACTAGGAGTGTCGCTATGAACTAAAAGTCTGATCAATCACATCAATTGTTTAAAATTTGCTCCTACTTCGTCCAGAATGTATTGCATTTGTGTGACAATGGAGATTACAGATAGTTGCTTCCTCGTGGTTTAGAACTGTGAGAGGCTTTCCACGCTACATTTACACCCTGAACCAGATATCATCTGGTGTTAGGTTACCATTCACAAGAGAAGTAACATGCTTAACTTGACAACCAATATGAAAATCGTAGTGTCTATCGTATTTCATTGCTGCAACATGAGAATTACATTGGCTATGAGTATTACATGTTACCATGCAGTTGTGAAACCACACCACACTGTCGCCTTCGCATCATAAAACACTATGGATTAGTTTCCGACCAGAATTGTTGCCTTCGCATCATAAAACGCTATGGAATAGTTTCCGACAAGAACTGTTTTCTTCGCATCATAAAACGTTATGGATTAGTTTCCGACCACAACTGTTGCCTTCGCATCATAAAACGCTATGGATTAGTTTCCGACCAGAACTGTTGCCTTCGCATCTTAGAACGCTGTGGATTAGTTCCCGACCAGATCATGCAGTTGCGTATATTGACACTTCCAGGATCTCAGTCTAAAGGATATTGGAAGGTCATTGATCATCCAATTCCAATCCCACCAAGAACTAAACAAGTAAAATCAACACGTCGGGTTAAATCCATTGTTTGAATATGATGTAACTTGTGAGGAAACATTTGCACAGTTGACCGAAGCGCCCTAAAAACAGTTGAAATTAGCAAATCTAGACATATGGCGTCATAGTATGCCCTGCTTCACCCATGTGTACTTGTGCTGGCTTGTTCAGCTACTGTATGGCTGACCTAGAGATAGTTTCAAGTGTCATTTGTAGGGCTGTACGTGGTTTACTACAAGTGCAATCTGTCTCTTAAAATTTGTTTATGAACTTGCGCACAGCAATACTAGAACAAAGCCCTCTGCGAGTGCCATGCACTCGGTCTTCCTTCAAAGCTGCTTCAACATTGCATCCTTTGGTGTAATAACATCTCATTACTTCATTATCCCTTTACACACTTGCCAGTTTCATGTTGGTTGCATGAGTCGCACTGCGATCTATAGAGCCATTTATATACATGAGAAATATGCAAAATAAACCACAGTAGTGCCTCTGGTAGTAGCACACGATAACTGTGATATTTGCATCTGCATGCTATATTTAACACACCTGTGAAATTTACCCTTCCTACGTCATAATATTTGTGAAAAATGATGCGTTGAACAGCAAAACGTTTTGAATACTCACCCTGTATATTGAATTATTGAATGCCGATCTATACAACAAAAAGCATAATGTTATAAATTACTTGTACTTTCCACATTCTTTATATTTATTCAAACACTTTTTAACGTTTCAATTCTCAAAATCATTATTCCAAAAGTATACTTTAAGTAAAAATTTCAAAATATCGTATGTCGGCAGTATTTTCAATCATATACAATGTGCTATATTAAAATTCACTATAATACACAAAATACAGTTCCATTTATTCAGATGGCCTATCACTTTGTCATTCATTAACTGATGTTGAAATGCTATCGTTATCTTTCGTTCTTTAAAATTAAAATTTTCTGCACACTAATGTAATTCCAAACACTGCTAAAAATATCACCCTATTTTCTTCTCATTCACTAAAAAACTGACATTAGATATATATAATTAAAGTTTGTTGGAACATTTGTAGTTTCTTTAAAAAGTGTCTTAATCAAAATCTCGTTATCAAGGGCAGTATTTTGTGATAATTTAGTAAACTAAATGACGAAAGTCAAAAATAGATAGAAAGCTTAAAACGATACATTTCCTGTCTCGAAAACGCAGTAACGTAAAACGTTAGCTTAAAACGCACTAGTCTGTGACAATTTACAATAGAGTTCAAACTTCACTCAATCATGTCACAACTTGGAGCGACAAAGGGCGTTTTACACTCAATTCAACCAAGACACAATCAATAACATTCCATAGGCGCATTAACAGGAAAAGGAAAAAGCTTAAACTTAAATTACATAACACACAGATTACATTCACAAACACAGTCAAATTCCTCGGCATAACATTTAATAGACAATTAATATGGACTAACCATCTCAGAAATATTAGTATAAATGTCAATCAAAGGCATAATTACCAGAGAAAAATCGGGATTAACCTTAGAGTATGCACAGCAAACACACTAATGACAATATACAAGTCATATTAAATCGTCAAGAAATTAGTGCCAATTATTTTAGAAGACAAAACACGTACAACTTATATATCAAAACAAAATATTTATTAAATGAAATAGTCTCCATTCTTATCGATGATCATTTCCATCTTACAATCAGGTTGTTAATGCCCTGATTAAATAAATCACTTGGCTTTGAAGCAAAAAACATGTCGATGTCCTCTTTAACACCTTCCATATTTGCATACGTTTTTCCATTAAGATGATGTTGCAGCTAACGAAAATGATGGTAATTTGATGGTGCCACATCTGGAGAATATGGTTGGTGAGGGAGAACTTCCCAACCCAACTCCATAATCTCGTGTTGCGTCAACTGTGTCACGCGAACGTGTATTGTCGTGGAGAAGAAGAACGCCTTTCCGATTGACGAGTGAAAGGCGTTTCTGATGAGGAGCTTGACTATAGATTTCTGCATTGACAGTTTGCTGTGGATTGAGGAGTTCGAAATTAACTACTCCTTTGATGTCCTACCAAATACAAAGCATCACTTTCTGCCGATGGAGTCCAGGTTTTGGGATCGAAAGTGGTTTTTGTCTTGGACTGAGCCATTGTTTTTGGCGTTTAATATTCGCATAGAGAATCCATTTATATCAGCGGTGACAATTCTGTCTAAAAATGGCTCATGCACATTAAGAGCCAGAAGAGACGAAGCAACGTTCACACGTTGGAAACGATGATCATCGGAAAGTTCGTGAGGCACCCAAACACCTTCTTTATGAAGTTTTCTCATATTCATTAGACGTTTACGTATTTTTTCATGAGAAAGATGCAATTTCAAGGCCATTTCATGAGTGTCTTGCCTTGGGTTAGACTCAACAAGCGTCTTCAGAGCATCAGTATCAATTCCAACATATCTGCCTCTGCCATCACAGTTTTTAAGGCTAAAGTCACCTGAAAGAAATTTGCTGAATCATTGTTGACACTTACGAACGTTCAAAACATTTCCATAAGCTTCTTTGATATTCTTTGTGGCTACAGAGGCGTTGTTTCCCTTTTTGTATTCAAATAGCATTACATGCCGAATGTGTGTCTCGTCGTGTGTCATTACTGTAAGGGATTAGAGTATACTAAACTTTACACATTATATAGGCTACATTAACGTGAAGTTTAGGCGGTTCGTTTAACTATTATACGTGGTGTACGTTTCTGTTTGGGGGAGGGGGTAATGAAAGTGTTACAAAACGTGACATTAATTTCTTGACGACCTAATACATAAGACCAATATACGAATATGGACACATGATAACTTGCAACATATCAGACAACCTATATTCAAAATAGCAAATCTACCAAAATAAAGCCATAAGACTAGCGTATATATTGCCAATCTAAACTCTACAGCTTTATCTCAATTCCTTATCTAAAATCGATAAATTAAAAACAAAAAAACGCATCAACAAATTAGTTTTCAAATTATACAGCAAAGCTGACGCACGTAACTCATTGACAAACCTATTCCCATCTCTAATAGCAACACAAGAATCGTGACAAACATAGATGTCCCCATTTAATCATATCAAATATGTAATTAAGTCGCACTTTTTTGTACACTAACATGTACATCTTACCCCCAAATTAAGTTAACAGAAAGGATACTCCCGAACAGTGAAAGTGGACTTTTACTGGGTTTTCCAGTTTTCTCTCCACATCAACACTCATATAATTATCCCAGCATCCTGAAGGGCCGTTTGAATTGAGAAGTCTATATTTTGGGATTTTCCGGCTTCCCTACACAACGCATCCATAACTTAAAAATGAAAGACGGTATTTAAGTTTACTATTATTATTCAATTGGCAAGTTATCACATAATATAAGCGGGATAAAAAAAAATTCTGATCATCCCTGGTTATTCTAAATTAGCAAAATTTAAAATTTAAGCTCCAAATACTGGATTATCAGCACTGATATAATGAGTGGCGATATCTCCAATTACAGATTTATTTGGACTGACATAGAGAGTGACGATATCTCCGATTACTGTTTCATTAGGACTTATGTTGAGAGTGACGATATCAATGATTACTGTTTTATTAGGACTGATGTAAAGAGTGACGATATCTCCGGTTACTGTTTTATTAGGACTGATGTAGAGAGTGGCGATATCTCCAATTACTGTTTTATTAGGACTGATGTAGAGAGTGACGATATCTCCAATTACCGTTTTATTAGGACTTATGTAGAGAGTGGCGATATCTCCGATTATTGTTTCATTAGGACTGATGTAGAGAGTGACGATATCAACAATTACTGTTTTATTAGGACTGATGTAGAGAGTGACGATATCTCCAATTACCGTTTTATTAGGACTTATGTAGAGAGTGGCGATATCTCCGATTATTGTTTCATTAGGACTGATGTAGAGAGTGACGATATCAACAATTACTGTTTTATTAGGACTGATGTAGAGAGTGGTGATATCTCCGGTTACTCTTTCATTAGGACTGATGTAGAGTGACGATATCAACAATTACTGTTTCATTAGGACTGATGTAGAGAGTGGCGATATCTCCATTAACTTGTTAAATAGGACTGACGTAGAGAGTGGGATAAGCGGATGAAAAAAAAAATGTGATCATCCCTGGTTATTCTAAATTTGCGAAAGTTAAAATTTAAACCTAAATATCTACCATGAAAGAAGAGGAACAATCTGTAATAGACCTGTCATCAAAGTCAATTATGAATTTGTGACTAACATAATAGGGGCGTAACTGCTGTAGTATATGCATTAGAGGCTCTGGTTGCAGAAGGTTTGTTCGTTATTAAGCATAAAGTTAGTTACACACAACGTCTATCGAAACTCGATTTTTAGCGTTATAAGCCCTCAGACGTACCTCTAAGCCACTGGGGGACGGCAGCAGAAGAACATAAATTACAAATATAATAACATCTTAACATATTACTCTCATTTTCCTCGCATCAGTAACTTACGAGGAACTACAAAAATCGGTAATTCTGACCACTATCAAAAATAATACAGCAATGACTGGAACTCAAATATTTTGTTAAACTCATAATTACCGTACTTATTAACATGCAAATACAATGGAGATCGTCCATAAGGTTTATAAAGTTTAAAATAGTCAATACACAATAGTATCTAGGCATGAGTTTCATTTCTTATTTTGAATTTAATTTTTAACAATAAAGTAAGCTGTTTATCAAAATTGCGAATGGTCTACAGATTTGTAAGTTTACCACAAATAAACATTTAACCTGAGGCCAACGTCGAATTCGCTTTCATTGCTGGAACAGAAAAAAAAAAAAAGATCGCTTGATTACTTTCGTTCATCATTTTAAGTCAACTATATTTTATTTAGTAAGAATGCCAACAGAATGTAGATTTACTTTTGACATTTCGATCCGTGTATTTTTTATTTTTTTTAAATATTCAAACACGTGCGTATTAAGAAAGTTTTTCTATCTTTATCCAGTAACAAACTATTAGTATCATTATTTGAAATAAAAAAATTGTTTTAAAGATATGGTTATTATATATCGAAACACCATTTTTAAAACTGTAACGAAAATTCCTGAACACAGAAACGTGAACTTCTAATATCTATAAGGGTCAAGGTATATATCTGGTGTTTGTTATGGATTTCGCGCAAAGCTAAACGAGAGCTATATGCGCTAGCCGTCCCTAATTTAATAGTGTAAGACTAGAAGGAAGGCAGTTAGTCATCACCACCCACCGCCAACTCTTGGGCTACTCTTTTACTAGCGAATAGAAGGATTGACCGTCACATTATAACGCCCCCACGGCTGAAATGGGGAGCATGTTTGGTGTGACGGGGATTTGAGCCCGCACCTCACAAATTGCGAGTCGAGCGCCCTAACCACCTGGCCATGCCAGGACGTATATATCTGGATGACTTGTATATTGCTGATTTATTTCACCTAGAAATCTGTCTCAAATTTACAAATTAGTTCTTAGACACTATATTTTATATGACATATATTAAGCAGCTGTTCCGAGTTCATTACTAATCTCTTTTAATTTAGAATTACTAAAAACGTTAAGTGCAGATCAAACGATAATCTTCAACGTATAACTCGTGTGCTGTCACAAACAATGTATTATCTTAACCTGTTCTCATTAAATATTTATATACCATACACCTGGCGCTGAACATTCTCATCCTTTCAACTGCGGAGATATTATAATGTTATGGACAATCCCAATATTCGCTGATGAAAGAGTTACCTAAGAGTTGACGGTGTATGCTGTTGGCCAAATGCCTTCCCTCTGATCGGCAGTTCAAAATTAGGGACGGCAGCAGATAACATTAGTAGCTTTGGCCTAACAAACATCCAACGAACCATGCAACAAACGTAATTATTGTCTTTTATGTATATAATAACAAAATTGAAAACAAAGAGTTCCAATCGAAGATGAAATGTTTGATTTTATATATAAAGCATTATTTCCTAATAATTATTTCTTAGTTTTATTAGCGCACGATATTTATACATACATTTATATTGTTATGAAGTCTAATAAATTTCTATTGGTTCAACTAAAATGTGATACGGTTAGGGTCGCAACAAGCTAGAAGTACTAACAGCAAAAACATGACCCAAACTATTCAACCGTAGTGCTAGTACTGATTATAATAGTTTTAAACAAATTTAATAACTGTGATTTTAAGTCACTTTCAGAAAGTGCTAAAATGTTATGCGACAATACAACAAAAGCTGAATTTTTGTTTCTAGTATACGGAAAAAAATTCCAATCCACTCATGAATACCCGCCTCTTCAAGTCATAAAACCCCTTACTCCTTTCTTCTCCCTAATTTGGTAGTGGGGCGAAAAAACCTGTGTTAATACTTTTGGCGGAGGTACTGATGCACTGTTCTGATAAATAGTAAATTTATGAATCCCGTGCTCTCTAACTCATCAGAGGTCAAGTCCACAATAAATCTGTAGTCTTACAATTACATGGCGTTCTACTCAGCAGGCATTATTAGCAGCTAAGAAATCATAACTATTTGTCACCGTTTCGTTTTTAGCAGAATTTGAAAATCAATAGGTTTACTATTGCCGCTCCCTCGCCCTTAAACACGTAGAATTTTGTTTCTCAAAATTACTATATTCATGTAGTTGCAAGAACTTATTTTTTGGAAGAAAAAAGAAAATCCTATCTTCTTTCTACAGCACAACAATAGATCGTAAATTGATAGAGATCATGAAAAGAATGTAAGTATAGAGTAATACGATAGTGTGTTACATATTACAATAGAGTTAGTAAAGTGTTCCAATCTGGATCTCCTGTTACTGTAGTACCAGAAAAAAAGGAGAAAGAGAACATAAAGATATAAGCCTAAATTTTGCAGTGTTTCATTTTATTTTTTTGTGTATTTTAAGAATTCACAATTTTAAATTACCACGTTATGTGAATATTTGCAAGACAGCTTAAAATGAACAGATATTGGATGAATTAGATGAAACAATGAGATTCAGTGTTAATAAATATTGTCAAATATTTACTAAGATATCCAGTTATTTCTCTTTCTAAACCTCTGTATTTGTTACAAGATAAATAAAAGATTGGAAAATTTTAAACCTACAAATAGGAATCGTAAAAAAGTAAGGAAACAAGGCTGGAGATACTGTAGACATTATTTACTCAATATACAAATCCCTATTTTGGCTCCATGCTGTTACTTAGAATTACATTTGGTGGAGTCAAAATAGGGATTTGCAGTTTGAGTAAATAATGTCTACAGTATTTCCAGCCTTGTTTCCTTACTTTTTTATGATTTCTATTTGCAGTTTTTTTAAAAGTCCCAATTTTTTATTTATCTTGTTTGCTAGCTTGTTTGTTTGTTTGTTTGTTTGAAACTAAGCACAAAGCTACACATTGGGCTATCTGTGCTCTGCCCACCACGGGTATCGAAACCCGGATTCTAGTGTTGTATGTCCGCAGACATACCACTGTGCCACTGGGGGGCGTTTGCTAGCTATTCTATGCTCAACTATGGACAAAAGATTACTTGATATGGTAGCTTACTTTATACATTATAATGATGATAAAAATAGCTAGTAGCTAGTTGATACGGTTCATAATGCTTTACTGTAGTTCTTGACTATCTGACTGCATTAGTT